CTTATGGAGGATACACATTTCTACAACTTTTTTTTAACCCTTTCTCTCATATCTAGATAGGTCCTGTGAGCGCAAACAACCCATTAGAAACTGCGTGTCATGAAAAAGATACCAACTATAATTTGTGAGGCAGCGAGGTGGAATCAGGCTCTCGTCAATTTTTGGGCATGTAGAGTTATTGGTATCATCTTAAAGCTTGTTCACTTGTCTTTATTTGGATGAAAAAAATATCCAATTATCTTGAAGACAAGTCGAGATATTTGCGAAAGATGGAGGTGGGGGTCACTTGTTTTCAGAGGTGAAATTAGTGAGAAAATGGCCGCCAAAGATTAGTTATTTCCTTAGCTTAAGAGTCCGTGGTAACTGAAAATTTACCTTTTTTGTTCCTTTAATCAACGTTTTTTCAGAAAAATCCAAACAGAAATGAGTTCTTTAATGGGAATGAAAGGTGTTGGGCCAAAAAACAAAAGTTTGATAAAAAATTCAAAAACCTGCGGAAAAATGCAAGTTTCTCCACTTTAATTATTTTGACGAGAGCCTGATTCCACCACGCTGCCTCACATTTGTGTATTGTGTTGTCAGGAGCTTAGCTCTGCATTTTGTTTGTGTGCGTTATTTGATCTTTTTGCCAAGATGACTCATGAAGCCGTCGTGAAAATGTTACAAAAACTTCCGCCTTCAAGTTTGTCTACATTGTCATCGATCGGATTTGATGTAACTTTATAGCGGAGGAACGAAAGACTATCTCGTCTCTTAAATAAATAGGGATTACTTCGTTTTACTGTCTGGTTTCAGATTGGTATTGATTTACCATTTGCAGGTCGGATGTAATGCTGTGAGTCATGGAATGGGTTAAATTCAAACGGAAGTCACTCCATAAATACTCTTGACCGTTTTTTGGCGGTTAATGAGACAGATTCAAGGGTCGAGGAACTCGTACTAAATATCAAAGACACATGATATAACTATTCTTTCCTTTCATTTAGTCTAGTTTAACCTGCTATGCATCGAATTACACACACATACTTGTAGATTAATGGTTTTCTGGAGTACATCATGTATACCACTTATCTCTCTCATCAGTCGCAACAAAGCCAAGAAAGATGATTACCCCCCCCTCCCCCCTCCCTACCCAACCCTGAATAAATCTGGTAGTCAGTATCATTCCTAAAAAAGCTTATTACGTTTTTAGATGTAAAGGACCGATATGGATGAAACCATGCTTCTAAAGGATAACAAGTTGAAAGACGGTTACAATCCAAGTTTGAAAACCGGAGAGGTCAGATTTTTGTGTGACTCACTAAAGGCTTGTATCAGATTTCTAAAACCGTACTGATAGAATATAATAATATTGTTTTCTTGATCTCTCAGTTTTCATCGCTCATAATTATTTTATTAACATAATATTGTCATGCCGAAATACTCCGTGTGCGTGCATATATTTTCTTCATACTTAATCATCACTTTAGAGCGAACCCTGAGGAGAATTCTGTCACATTAATTACATCGAAATCACGCAATACAGATTTTTGGTATAGTGTTATTTTCTTTTTGTCTTCGTGTGTGTGTGTGTGTGTGTGTGTGTGTGTGTGTGTGTGTGTGTGTGTGTGTGTGTGTGTGTGTGTGTGTGTGTGTGTGTGT